CTGTCTAGACTCTTCTGTGGTGACGACACATGGGTCTAAGTCAACCTGCTGAGGGGAGAAGCCCCTTTCCTGTCCTTTGAACCACAGTTGTTTTTTTTTTTTTTAAATTCAGACCCTGATGTCCTGGGCCCTCAGCATCCCAGGACCTTGTGTGGGGAGAATAACTTTTTAGACATTTCGACTTATTCACTTGGGACCTTCCTCTCAAAGTAATACCCCCCAGGATCTTCCAGAATCTTGCAGAACTTTGCCAACTGCTGCTGTGTTTATGGACCACGACCCAGACATTCAGCTCACTTTGCCCCCATCCCCACAAAAGGATTCTTGGTTTTTTGCAAAGGGAACCCTCAAGGATTTATTCTTTCATTGTTCTGGACATATCCCTTTCTGAAATCCTAAAGTAAACAAAAGTTAGGTTCAAGCTTGGACCTTGCTCTGTATGAAAATCAATTGTAACTATTTGTTTACCCTTGTTTGTCATTTAGAACTGGAGTTAGCTTTGTATTGACTATGACTATGTGCTACTGGTCAGGACCATGATACCATGTTAGGTAGTGCTTTCTTTTTTTTAACCTTTATTTCTATTTATTTATTTATTTGTTTATTTATTTTTATGTGGTGCTGAGGATCGAACACAATGCCTCACACATGCCAGGCAAGTGTTCTACCACTGAGCCACAACCCCAGCCCAGGTAGTGCTTTCTTGTATTTTAAGATTAAATCGTTATGAATAACACAATTATTGTGAGTTTTTGCTGTTTTGTTTGTTGTTTCTGGATTAAGAAGTGGTGACCCAGAAAGGTCTCAGCTAATCACCCTTAGCATGCGTCTAGACTCAGCAAATACCCCATGACCTACACTTGCATTTACACAGTCTCTGTTTTCTTTCCATGTTGCTTTACAAAGATTCATTTTGAAGTATTCACAAGAAGTAGTCAGTAGTGTAGAACAATGTACAACCTTGAGTAGACAGGCAAATTTGCATGCTAAATAATAAAATAAAATGGTGGATATGAAAATTTGTATCTAGTTTAAAAGAAAATAGCAAATTGTTTTTCAAATCTTTGAGGAAAAAAATCACATTTCTGAGAATATGATATATGTAATGCAGATCAGCATGTTATCTATTTCATTTGAACATTTTCAAAAGTTCAATCCATTTCTTTTTTAAATTTATTTTATCGAGGTATAGCAAAATGCATTTTGATTCATTGTACACAATTGCACACAACTTTTCATTTATCTGCCTGTCCGCGATGTAGCATTGCACCCTATGTGCAGTCTTACATATATCTAGGGTAATGATGTCCATCTCATTCCACCATCTTTTCTGTCCCCATACCCTCCAAACCATTTCTTTAAATAATTGAATTGTAAACCAAAATATTTAATTGTTTTTTAACCATCTACTATTAAAATCACTTTCTACCACATATTCCAATCTAGAAAGTTGAAAATCCCTTAATGTTGTTATTTTTCACATAAATAATATTTTCTACTGAAAATAAGAATAAGGAGGAATATCTGAAGCTAAATTATAATTCCAGTCACTACTAATGTTTTGATATTAATCTTTTACATGTTTGGCTGGGCATGTAACTTTTTACAAACTGGGATCCCATTGTAGATACTATTTGGTAACCTGCTTTTCCATTTAAAAGTACACTGTAACACACTGGGTTTTAATAAAATACTCTTCTGTGATATATTTTAAAGGTCTTAGTTGAAATTGCTTTCCTCTTAAGGGGTTTTTCATTTGTTCTTGGGGACCAACAAACTTTAGATTGGAAGTATTTTTGGACCACACAAGTGACATGAATGGGAACACCAAACCATGGGCCAGCTTTGGAGTCATGGTGCCTCTGCTCAGCCTCATGGAAACAGGCTTTCCTTGCTGTCCCCTTCATTGAAGTTTTTTCTTTTTCTTTTTTCCCCTGCTTTCTTCCCTCCCACTCTTTTTCCCCCAGGCCATCCTCCAACCTTTCCTGCCTTCTTTCCTTCCTCCTTCCTACTCTAGCCCTCGGTGTTGGTCTCATGCTAGACTCCCACTTTGGGGGAACCCAGGTTTTATCTCCTGTCCCCGCTCCCCTCCCAAGACTGCAGCCCAGACATCCAGGGCTTAACAGAGAACCTTGGACTTAAAAAAAAAATGGCTTTGGCACTGAAATATCTACTAAGGTGACTGATTTCACTTTGTTTTTGGCCTCTGTGTTTTCTTTCCTCCCTGCCAGTTCAGCAATGAAGTTAAAGCACATCTAATATTTTATTCAGGATTGAACTTAATCAAAAGGATTGTTTTTTGAATCTATTCTGCCATATGACAGAAATGAAGGTCAAGAATATTTACTTTGAAAGATCATTTGAACTTGCATTTGTATTTTTCCAAAGATGAAGTGGTCTTTTACTGAACTTAAAAATTTATTAAACAACAGATTAAACAATTGTTTAGTGAAATTTGAAAACCCTCTATTATAATGTCATAATATAGATAATACTACTACTATATTTTTAATATTTACAAAGCCTTAGATACATCTTTTAAATTCATAGATGATGATGATGATGATGATGATGATGATTTTGGTTTTCTAGAAATATTGGTTTACAGAAATATTGAGTCTAAAGTACAGTGTTTACCATATACCTCCAAGGTTCCCCTATTTTTAATACCTTGAATTAGTATGCCACATTTGTTGGCAGTTGAGAAGACCATAAAGTATTATTGTACATGTATCTTTTGATGGATATTTTTGAATTCCTTCAAAAACTGCACAAGATAGATACTATACCCATTTCAACAATAAGGAAACTTGAGATTGTGTACTAAGCCTAGATTCATTTACAAATGTGTAAGAATAAGAACGTGGATCATTATATTTATGTTTCTGTTGTAACTACATTGAGTAATCCTAAATTTTAGCTCTCTTCTGCCTGATTAAATATTCTTAGCACTGCATATTTTCAAAAAAATTCACAATAGGAAATTATTCTATACTAAGATCTCATCTCAGGATCTAACATACTGCCATGCTCCTTGGCATATGCCTGTAATCTCAGTGGCTTAGGAGGCTGAGACAGGAGGAAGGCGAGTTCAAAGCCAGCCTTAGCAAGAGCAAGGTGCTAAACAACTCAGTGAGACCCTGTCTCTAAATAAAATATGAAGAAATAGGGTCAGGGATAGAGTGCCCATGAGTATAATCCCTGGTACCAAAAAATAAAAATAAAAATCTAACCTGCTTATCTAGTGTAGCAACTAGATAAGGACCTGAATTGGTGGTTGCCTTATTCATACTAGGAATAATTACTGAACTGATTATTTTATAAGTTCTCTTAATATGAACTAATTTATTTTTTAAAATAAATACTAGTGTGAATATTTAATGGAATATGTGATATTATGAGATACAGGTGGTAAAAGGATTATTATAGTGAAGCACACATTCATCATCTATAATTTTCCATTTTTATTTTTATTTTTGTGTCAGGAGCAGCTAAAATCTATCCCTTTGGTAAGAATCCCATATATAGTGCATTTTAATAACTGCAGTCTTCATGTGGTACAGCATGTCCGCACAGTTGTCCATCCTTCAGTTTTGCAATTTGTAACCACTGAGCTATAGTTCCCCATTTCCTATGCCTGACACCCCTAGTAACCACCATTTAGTTCTCTATCTACCTCTGTGTACTTAAACCTTTTCTAAAATTCCATAGCATAGGTGAGATCATGCAGGCTTTCCTTTCTGCATCTGGCTTATTTCACGTAGTATAATGTCCTCCAGTTTCTGCCTATTTACATAGTATTATGTTGTGGTATGTAGGATCTCCTTTTGTAGTAATATCCCACATTTCTTTATCCATTCATGTGTTAACTCAGTACTTAGTTTATTTTCACATCCCAGCAGTTTGCAAATAATGCTGTGGTAAACATGGGAGCACAAATTTTTATGAGGAGTTTAGTTCAATTTCTTTGAGCGTCTACTTGGAGGGGGGATTGCTGGGTCGCAGGGTAGCTCTACTTTTGACTTTTGTAGGAACCACTACACTGTTTACCATAAGGGCCGCACAGTCTACCTTCCCACCAGCAGTGTCCAAGGTTGTCCTTCTCTCCACACCCTTGCCAACACTTATCTCTATGAACTTTTTGATAACAGCCATTCTTACAGATGTGATGTGACATTTCATAGTGATTTTAAGTTGCATTTCCTTGATGATTAATGAATGCTGAGTGATTTTTCATATGCCTGGTAGTCATCATTTCATATGCCTGATATGTCTTTTTTTGGAGTGATGCCCATGCAAGTCCTTTGTTAATGTGACCTAAGTTAGTTGTATTGTTATAAGGCCTTACTCCTCGTCTAACAACTCTGCAGGTATACATAAATATGGCAATAATGCCCTGCGCCTTATAACCCATCAAGTCATTCATGCCCTTTTATTAAGGTGGATTCTTCTCCCAACCTTAACTGTTTTGGGGCAGTTGGCTATGTTTTTATTTAATAACAACTATAGGACCTGAACAGTGAAGATATACTACCCTGTCTAAAAATTATTGCTGTGCATAATGGTAGCAATGGCAAATATAAGACTTTCATTGCTTATTTGAAGTGTCATTTTTATAGATAAGAATGGACCAAATATAAGCAATCTATACAATTAGTGGTTTATGTTGATTCAAATATCAGTATCAGAACTGGTATAAATAATTTTTATAACAAAACATGATACATCTAACTTATTTCAAGTATTCTGTACATTGGTAGAACTCTGTTCCTGCTCTCCCTTCCCTCAGCTCTGGTCTAACAATAGTATTTCCCAAGTCTCTTGGCATGATCTATAGGTAATACAAAAAGACTGACGGAAATGTGCCCATGTCAAATTTTCAACATGTTCTAGCACAACCATAATTAATTTTCTATAACATTCTAGGATTCCCAAAGCATAGTAAATTTCTTTTATATTCATGGAGCATTTATTAATGTAATTATACTTTTGTATTATAGTGAATCGACATCCAATACTCAGAAGAGCTAACATCCAGATTGTTGGAAAATTGGTGGCCAGATCGATAAGAGAAAGGAAAATGAGAGCATATTTTAAATCACGAGAAGTTTAATAAGGTTGAGAAGCAATTCAGTGCTGTTATTTATAATGGTTCAATCTGTCTATCCAAAGAGAAGGTTTACAGTGGCCATGGATGAATTTGGCATCAACAGGAAAAAAGACAAGCATTTTTGTACATGCAAAGAAGGACTTTGATGATTTAGTCTGTAATTTCTAAATATCTTTGCCTGAACACTGCTTATTTTATCTTCTTCATAAACATCATGATAAAATGAAACTACATAGTGTCAAGTACTGCTTTCATCAGACTGAAATTTGTTTTGTTCTATTAACAATAAAGGCTCGGAAGAAACTTTAGAATTATTTTAAAAACTCATGACTCTGATATTAAATGCTGTTAGATTCATCTTTTTTATTCTTTAAAATGATAATAGGGTAATGTTTTACTAAAATATATATCAAAGGGTTTGTTTTTCAGCATACCTAGCATCCCTTAAGTTTTTTGAATTTGCTTCTGAAAAATGGGTTTGAGGCTATAGTAATTTTTAGCATGGCCAGAATATTATATTCCTTTACTCATTTCTTATTCTGAAGGGACACACTATCAATCTATCTTGCATTCTGAGTTTACTTGCCTCGGGTCTAGAAAAACTTAACGCACAATAGCTAACACCAATTCCTTAAAAACATTGGACTTAATTTTATCCATCCATCCATTCATCCTCCACCCTCTATTTATGGATGGATTAAAAGAAGAAGAGAGGAGCGATAGTTGAAGGAATAGAATTTCTGCACAGCATAGAGACAAGTTGTGAATGGAGACAGGAACTGCATGACAGGTGTTCTATTTTTTTCAAAGTACTTATCCTTGATCTGTTACTTTTACGATAAATTCATTGGTTTTAAACAGACAGCTCTTTCAGGCTGCTTTCATGCTGGAGTTTACTGTAAAAATACATATGAAAGTTACTGAAACTAATCTTTAGAAAGCCAATTATAAGAATTATATAAATGTTAGAGTATACCCAAACCAAACCAAGATGGGCTAAAGACAATAATGAAGTCTAGCAAAAAAATTTTAGAATAAAACATTTGGTAGGGAAAGAAAGCAGTGAATACTAGTTTAAGTTTGGTTTTTCTATGAAATTAAATTGTATATATTCTCCTTATTGATAACCGAGAATTTCACTTTACAAAGTTTTTTTTTCTTTATTTGTATGCCGAAAAGGTGGAAATGGCACAATTAAGAAGAAAAGGAGGGAAAATCATACACAATTTGAATATCAGTATGGTCACAGATCATCAGTTTGATTTGTTTTATGACATTACCAGGGTAAAAATTTGGCTAGATTTTTATGACCTCTATTCTATGAAAATGGTAACAAAAACTTGCAGTTACAATGTGAGGTACTTACCAACTTCAGTACAGGATTTCTCAGTGGGTATTGTACAATTGCTATTCCAAATGGTAAGTGTAATTATAAGATGTAATTAACACAAAGTAATATAAAAGTACTTTATGAAATAAAATATGAAGATTAGCTTGCAATGAAGGCATTTGGGGCAGGATCTAGAAGCTTATTTTTTTTTCTTAATTGTGTGTGTGTGTATACTCTCTCTCTCTCTCTGTCTCTCTCTGTCTGTCTGTCTCTCTCTCTCTCTCACACACACACACACACACACACACACATATTTTTTTTCAATATGATCACTTTTGTTTCATGTTTCCTACATTTAACTGTTCCGGATTCTCAGCAGACTCAAATAGGGCTCCTGCCGAATGTCTGTTAGAGATGTGATTCTACATTAAGTTCAGTGACAATGTCCCTCTAGAGGTGGGGAAGACAGTGTAAGGTCAGGGGAAAGAAGGCTTCACTTTTCAGTTAGTCAGTTTCTATATAAAAATTGGCACTTGGTGCTCATCAAAGAACAAGAAATATTTGATATGCTCTAAATGTCCATTGTGTTGGGAGCCAACTACCTGATGGAAGCCATCACTTATATGTAAATGAACTGTCAATGGCTCGCCACAGTTGGCAGGCACTGGACTGTGAAGGGTATGTCTTAATAAGAACTGAAGCTCTTCACAGACTTTGATTTACTGGAAATAAAATAGAAAAGTCCTCTGAGACTACAAAGGACACTTGTTTCAGATAAAACGTCTAGACAGTAGCAATATATTTAGGGCTTTTATTACAGCAAAACTGCAAATTAGAATGGAGTGGTGAGAAAGTTCCTGTGACCCAGCTGAATTCTAAAACACTGCTTCTGACTAAAGTAATATGAGATCTTTAAAATAGCTAAGCCAAATTAAATAAAAGTGCATTAAGGAAAAGGAAAAACAGAAACAAGGCAAGGTCAAGATGTAGGCTTGTTATTTCTTTTAAATTGTGTCTTATGAATTTTACATTTTCTTATAAATTCATATTTTTTCTTAAAACTGTGGCATTTAGAGTAGTGGAATGCCAAACTTCTGTGATCCTGCAGCATGGACTGCTCCTCAAGTAATTACAATTTAAGAGGATATTTTTCCTTGTCCCTTCATTTCTTTCCAACTTTTATTCCAAAGAACAAAAACAAATGAACCATTGAATTCTGTGTAGCTATTAATATTCTATTAATTCTGATAAAATATATTTGTGAAATGCTTTAGAGTTTTAGTGTACTTTTCCACAAATATGAATTGTGGAAACTTTAATAGGTGGATCAAATTTTATGTTAAAACTGTTTTCTCCTGAAGCATCCTATGTTCATAGAAGTGGGTCAGTCAGGATAAGTTAACAACTTAAAAAAATCCTATCAGTTTAAGATACTAATTTCTTTGTAGCTTATTTCACAATCCAGTGTGAGTCAGCAGGGACCCTACTCCATGCAGTCTTTCAGGGATTCAGGCCTTTTCTATCCTAATAGTTATTCTTTATTTTTTTATTGCTTATTTTTAGTTATATATGACACTAGAGTCCATTTTGATGTAATTATACAATAATGATATAGGAATATAGCTTATTCTAATTAAGACCCCATTCTTGAGGATGTACACGATGGTGAGATTCACTGTGGTCTATTTCTATATGAACATGGGAAAGTTATGTCAGATTCATGCCACAGTCTTTCTTGTTCCTACCCTCCCTCCCTTCCCTTCATTCCCCTTTGTCTAATTTATTGAACTTCTATTCTCCCCTTTTCCTTGTTGTGGATTAGCTTCCACACATCACAGAAAACATTTGCCTTTTTTTTTTTAATTTACTTATTTCATTTAGCAGGATAGTTTCCAGATCCATCCATTTACTGGAAAATGTCATGAAGTCATTCTTCTTTATGGCTAAGTAATACTCCATTGTGTATATGTACCATGATTTTTTTATCCATCCATTTGTTGAAGGGTGCCTAGGTTAGCTCCATAGCTTAGCTCTTGTGAATTTTGCTGCTATGAATATTGATGTACCTGTGTCACAGTAGTATGCTGATTTTAAATCCTTTGGATGTATACTGAAGAGTGGAATAACTAGGTCAAATTGTGGTTTCAGTCCTTGTTTTTTGAGAAATCTCCATATTGCTTTCCAAAGTGATTGCTCCAATTTGCAATCCCACTAACAAAGTAGGAGTGTATCTTTTCCCCCACACCCTCACCAACAATTATTGTTACTTGTATTCTCTATAATTGCCATTCTAGCTGGAGTGAGATGAAATCTCAGTATAGTTTTAATTTACATTTCTTCTAATAGCCATTTTTTAAGACTGTTGCCACACTCTCTCCATCCAGGAAATTGACAAAAGAGAATGTGGAGAAAGAAACTCAGACAAGTTACTTAACTTCTTAACTACTTGGGTCTAAAATTGGATCATGAGCAATACCAGCCTATTGGGGAAAACTTGTCACCTGAGTCCACCTATATTCAAAGGTACAAGGAAATGTGGCCTAGCTTTGCATCAAAGAGGACTGTGCTTATTTCTGTCACAGAAAGTAGATTGTCTACACTGTGATTTGGGGTATAGGAAATATTTTCAGTGGCTCCAGTTGGACTGTCATCATCCTGGTTTCAAATTTTATAATAAAATTACTCCAAAATCCAATCCCTTCTCGTTTCCCCAAGATTTTGATGCTAATTCCCTTGCACAGTTCCATCCAAAATTCTGAAAACCCATTTTCTTTTTCATTTCTTAGATTTGTAGTCTTCTTTCTGGAAATTGAAAAACTTTGGTTTTTATTTTTCATTTGTTCTTAATGTTTGTTACTCAATAAAAGTTATGTCAAGTACATAATTTTCAGTAATATTTTGATAAGGATCCTTCTTTTACTAGAAAAGACCATTTCCTGTTTGGAAAAAAAAACTTGATCAGAAACTAATATTTTCAGAACAGTAGAAGGGGAAACAGAATTGTACATCTCCATACGTTTTTATGTAAAATAAATCAAGAAAAACAGGTATGATAAAGTGGTATTAAGGCAAGTCTGATTTGCCATTTCAGAAGTGAGTTTTCATTCATTTTACTGGAATGGGAAGAACACTGAGGAATTAAAATTCTATTCTATTCTATTCTCCCCCCCACCCCACACCTTTCTCTAAATAGCAGAGGGAAACAGAAAGCATAGTCTTAACCAAAATTTCAAACAAATTTGCTAGAATCTTTGAATAAATATGCTAGCTTAAGTCTCTGCCTTCAAGGCCACTAGCTCTTTCTGGAATAAAGTCTTAAACTTTCAAGTTTGGGGATTATAAAACAAATTCTGCATTAAACATCTTTTTGTTTTATCTTTATTTTTATTTTTTAATTGAGAAGTCTCTGCACATTTTGCTAGTTTTCCATATGGTAAAACATACTTTTCAAGACACAAAATAACAAACTATTCAGGTTCCCTTGACCCTAAATGAAACTTTGCTCTGGAGATTAGTTATGTGGAGATACAGGGTGAGCACAGAGCATATGTTCTACTATTCTACGTGGCAGTGGCCTGGTCTGGCTAGTGGTTCTGAGGGCAATGACTGTGGCACAGTTTTTTGATGTGGTTTCCCGATTTGGGCAAGGAGTTCTGGGATGATTCCAGGGTTG